AAAATTGCTACAAATTCAAAAGAAAAATTAAGAAGTAATCGTATAGTATCACTATTTTTCTCTAGCTCCAATAAGGCTAAGTACTAGAGATTTGTAGAATGAAATTGTTTCCACTGAAAGAGAATAATTTAGAGCAAACCCAGAAGGCCAATCATAAATCAACATCTAGTGTTCTCTACATCATAAAATAAAAGCTCCAATTACACAACTTGATATTTGAACTTCTTGATTCTGGTAAATAACAGCTGAAAACTCTTCTACAGCTTATACCTTGCCTTGAGGCCAAGGTAGCTGTGACTACGGTACACTGACTGATGTCTCTCTGGGCTATAGTCTCTCTCAAGACATTGCCTGGCCCCAGTTCAAACAGAAAATAGTTGTGTTTTTTTTCTGACAGCAAGAAATGGCTAAAGAGAACTCTACTGCTACTGTGAAAACACCAAATACAGAACACAGCTCCTCAAATCCCAAAGTTCAGGAAGTGACTAATTATAAAAAATAGCAAATGAAACGGGTGCAGAGACACATATTTACTTCACCTATGTTTTAAGATGCTGGGCATACATACTCTTTGTCCAGAAGTCAGATAGCTTTGTTAGAACAGTATCCCGGCCTAAAAAGTAAATTCTTAAACGAGGCTCGTTTCAAAAAGTAATAAAGTCCAAGGAACTTGACATCCACTCAAAACCAGTAACATTCTTTTTTAAAGTAAGTTCATTACTACTTTCAAAAAAAATAATCAGAAAAATGTATCCTGACAGCATATGTCACATACTGCAAGGTAGATCAGGAGTGGTTCGCTGTGAGCCCTTACGACAGTCGTCATCGTGCTTAGACTCATAACGAAGAGTAAGTTGTCTTCATCGCTCTTCTTTTTTACAACGAATGCTCCTGGAGAGCATTCTTGGAATCTTTTACTGCTAGTGTGTGGGCAGGATTTTACTTGCTGGTACTCATTTACATTAGAGTTATATCCATACTCGTCTGTGTACAACTAATGCAGAACTGGCTTCTAAGACATTTACAAAGCCATATAAAATTGCCAGGATTTAATGTTGTCAAATACACATTGCTCAGAACCTACTAGCACAGAAGTCTGAATAGCTTACTGAGCACTACAAATCCTGGGTGAGAAGAAAAACAAAATACCTCTGGGTATACTTCTGGGGCTGTGAGCCTGGAGAAGAGAAAGCTCCGGGATGATCTTATAGCAGCTTTCCAGTGCTTAAAGGGGGCCTACAGGAAAGCTGGAGAGGGACTTTTTACAAGGGCCTGTAGTGACAGGACAAGGGGCAATGGATTTCAACTGAAAGAGGGCAGATTCTATTAGATCCAAGGAAGAAATTTTTCCCTCAGAGGGTGGTGAGGCACTGGAACAGGTTGCCCAGAGAAGTTGTAGATGCCCCATCCCTGGAAGTGTTCAAGGCCAGGTTGGATGAGGCTTTGGGCAACCTGGTGTAGTGGAGAGTTTCCCTGCCCATGGCAGGTGGGTTGGAACTAGATGATCTTTGAGGTCCCTTCCAACCCAAACTATTCTATGATTCTATACCATTTTTCAATATTAAAAAAGAGTATACATGATATGAATTTTAAAGTAGTTTCTATTACCATCAACCTTTTGGCAGAAGAGTTGAAATTTATCTAGAGATCACAAACAGTCTACAACTAATTGGTGGTTATCCTCCTGCAGTATTTTTTACTTTCCTATATTGACATACAAATTAAGTCACTGTCTTTTGATATATCTCACAATAAAAGCACATATTCTTTTTTCAGCATTGGTATTTTGCAGGGCACATCCCAAGAGCTTCTACAGCTAGGTACGGTCCAGATACGTCCTATCACGACAGAACTTAAAATAGAAAAGGCACCTGGTGGTATCTCAAGTATTTCAGAATGCAACGTTGAACTCAAAACTACAAAAATAAGGGGGGAAACGTACACTTGCAAATGTGAATATACATATGCGCACAGGTATATGTTTAAGCATATATTCACATACTAGCTATACATTATTAAAGAAGTGGTATCTCTAAAATATGTATTATTCATGCCCTAATAACCTGTATCCTTAAGCACATTTATACTAAATAACCTAGAGAAAGTCAAAGACAGGTGATGGAGAATTAGAGATGGCGAAGTTACCACGGAACAACGAATAGTTTATGGGAGATAGGAAACAGTAAGACCACTGCAGAAGAACAGGTGCCAGAGTAAACTTCAACATATGTGTAATCAATAAGAGGGCAATTCACCTCCTTCATTAATCATGACTTGTTCTGCTCTGGATGATAACATAAGCAATAATTAAAAACAAATTAATTATCAGCAACATCCTTAGGTATAGTCTATATATTGCCATAACTGAAGCCAGAAAATTTAGAGTGAAAAATAATTTTACACCGGTTAAAATAAAATCTCTGTATTTGTAATCCTCTTAGTCATCAAAGCAGTAATAAATAGTGTTATACTCTAAAAAAATACAACATGCAACTAATGGGCTACTCTGTGATTTCTGTCTTGGTCCTCACGAATCCTGATACATACAGCCACTGAAATCAATAACTTAAATTTCTTGACTAAATATTTACTATCCAAATAAAAGATTAACTATTCAGTGATAAAATCATTTGAAGCTTCAGGTGAAGTTATAGGAAAATCATTAGTTTTTTTACCTATGCAACAGACATCATAAAGTTTTGGCAGGTTCCTGCATTTTTTGTTAGGAATTAAATAGAATATTTCATTAACCCAGATAGATAAAATCTGGTCAGTTTTTATTTTCGAAATTAACACAGTTTTATCTCAAGTTATAGAATGTGAAGATTACTAAATACACAATCACTGTTGTATGCCTATGCACTTACCATAATTGTACAGCAGTGCTTTGGTATAAACAGATGTTATGCTATAAAAGCTGGTAAAAAATTGAAAGGGAAATATATACAAATTAAGAGGTAAGCTTTATACAGATGAAAAGGGGAAATTAAAATTACAATATAATATATCAAGAAATAACTAAAGAATTTCCTATTATTTAATTACTGCATATACTTTAAACTTCCTTACAGTTTTGATTGTTATACACACCAAAAACAAGTTTTGATGCTTGAAGTTTTAAACTCGAAACTCATGCCTCCAGCAGGTTCATTCTCCCATGAAAGACATACAGTGCTCATTTGAAACTGAAAGTTGTAAGTGTTACTTTAAGATAAGAGCTGTTACGTGACTAGGATATGCTTTGGAAAAGCACCAGTTTATGGACAACTTCCAGCTGGGGCTATTTAAGTAGAAAAGTAGCAGTTTTCAGCAATAGAATCTAAGTTATCCAGTCCTTAGAGTGAACAAGAAGACCGAGAAGCAAAGAGACAGACAAATGAAGGAGTAAATGCGTTGGGTTTTTGTGGCGAGGTTTTGGTAGCAGGGGAGAGGCTGCAGGGGTGGCTTCTGTCAGAAGCTGCTAGAGGCTTCCTCAGCTCCAAGGTGGACCTGCCTCTGCCCAAGGTTGAGCTGATCAGTGACAGTGGTAGTGCCTCTGTGATAACATAAGAAAAAAAACCTCAAAACTGCTTGAACCTGCAGTGGAGAGAGGAGTGGGATGTGAGAGAAACAACTCTGCAGACACAGGTCAGTGAAGAAGGAGGAGGAGGAGGTTCTCCAGGTGCTGGAGCTGAGACTCCCCTGCAGCCCATGGTGATGGCAGGGTGTCCTCCTGCAGCTCATGAGAGAAATGGTGGAGCAGAGATCCACTTGCAGCCCCTTGAGGAACCCACACTGGAGCAGGTGGCTGCACTGAAAGATGGCCATGACTCCATGGGAAACCCATGCTGGAGCAGTCTTTTCCTGAAGGACTGCATCCCATGGAAGGGGATCCATACTGAAAGCAGTGTGTGAAAAACTGCAGCCAATGGGAAGGACTCATGTCAGAGAAGTTCATGGAAGACTGTCTCCCTTAGGAGGGGCCCCACACAGGGGAAGAGTGTGAGGGGTCCTCCCCCCGAGGAGGGACAAGCGACAGAAACAATGTGTGACAAACTGACTGCAACCCCCATTCTCCATCCCCCCTGAGCTGCTGGAGGGGAGGAGGTAAAAGAATTGGGAGCACAGCTGAGCCTGGGAAGAAGGGAGGGGGTGGGGTAAAGGTGTGTCTTTAAGATTTTGTTTTATTTCTCATTATCCTTATTATGATTTGATTGGTAACAAATTGAAGTGATTTTTTTCCCCAAGTCAATGTTTTGTTTGTGACCATAACTGAGGAGTCATCCCTCCCTGCTCTTGCCTTGACCCATGAGCCTTTTGTTATATTTTCTCCTCCCCATCCCATCAGCAGGCAGAAGGGAGTGAGCAGCTGCGTGGTGCTTAGTTGCCAGCTGGGGCTAAACCATGACGGTAAATTAAAGGCAAATCACAGCACGAAGTGAATATTTACAACTAAGAACTGTATTGATAGTTTATTTCACAGAAAAGCTCATCTTTCTCTGGAAAGAAGCAAGAGAAAGACAGCATTTATGTTTATCAGAGAATCATAGAATGGTTTGGGTTGGAAGGGACCTCAAAGATCATCTAGTTCCAACTCCCCTGCCATGGGCAGGGAAATCCTCCACTACACCAGGTTGCCCAAAATCTCATCCAGCCTGGCCTTGAACACTTCCAGGGATGGGGCAACACTTCCAGGGATGGGGTTTACTTTTGTCACACTAGTTACTACAGTTAAAAAACATAGGTAACTTGGAAGCCTTTTAAATAAATGTTTTTCTGCACTATATTTCTAACAGATCAAGAACAAGAGTCCAAACGGGCAATATTGACAGACACTGACCCCATGAAGCTTCTGGTTTGAATAAAGATTCTATTGCCACCCAAGGAACACTACTGCTGCATATGACATTTAATTAAGAATTATCAGTTCAAGGCAAATTCATATACAGATATTCATATATAAAAAGAATACTTTTTCCCCTTGCATATGAAGAATAATTAATTATTCTGTAAATAGTCACCTTGTGGTTGACGACTTGGATGATATATCTGAAGATCAAATGGCTGAGCACTTGTTTTTTGTATTACACTGACATTTTGGCCAGTCCATTTATTGGCTTTTGCAAGCGTGTTGGTCCGCCAATCTGTCCAGTATACTTCACTCCCATACAAAGAAACAGCAAAAGGGTGAGAAAGATATTCATGACCCCGTATAATCTCTATCATGCCGGTTCCATCATATAATGCAGAATAAATGGCATCCGATCTACAAGATAACCCCAAATTTAAGATTACATCAAAATAAAATAAAAATCACACAACCATTACGACATTGGCACAAAACGCATAAAACCCTTACTCTTACATACCGGTAACACCAAAGATGATTTACAGTGCAATCATGAACTTCAGAGATTATTTAGCTCACGTTATTAATTTAACTGGGTATATGAAATACTGGTTTGCTTGTATACGTTTTTTTAAAGTCAAATTTACCTCCACACTGTGAAACCACAGCAGGAAAATAAGTTTCCATTCAGATGAATTTTCAGGAAAAAAAAAATAGTGAAACAGCTTGAGTCTTCCATGTGTAAGTGTCAGGGAGGACAAATGGGCGACTGCTCTCTAAGGCACAGGGAGCCAGGAGCCATGGATGACACCACAGCTGGCAGGGCAGAGGCGTCGCTGCCTGGGCACACATCCCATCGCGCCCAAGCGAGGCGAGTAGAGCTGGCGCCAGAGGTCTTCACTTCCAAGGAAGTTTACATTTCTGTATGTAAGAGTAAGTATTTATAAACAGGTAATAAGAACGTTGTTATCACTTTACCTGGCATCTGTCCATACTATTCTTTTTTCAAAGTGATCTACAGTAAGGCCATTAGGCCAGGCTCCAGTATCCATATCTTTATAGATGATTTTTCTTTCTGCTCCGCTCATGGAAGCGGATTCAATGCGAGGAAAATTTGCATCCCAGTCTGTCCAAAACAAAATTCTGGTGAGAGGAAAAGGAAAAGAAAGGTATAAGAAAATACTGAAGCATGCAGAAAAATTTCAAATGGTTCAATAAGCCAATAGTTGGAAAAAAGTTCAAATATTCACATTTTAAATGTATAGAATAAACATAGATGAATTTGGGATACTATACAAATTCCTTGAAGTAATAGGGTAACATGGAGGTAATATTACATTATTACTGTTCGAGCAACCATGAAAGTCAAGAAGTTTTTTAAAAACTAGAAGTTTAATAGTGTTCCCTTTTTCATGTCCATTAATATAAGTAACAGCTTGTCTTGTCTTCCTTCTATAATTAGAAACCCAGCTCATAAAAAAAAAAAACAATAACAGCCTTTGACAGCAATCCACAGATGAGGAAGATGGGGAGGGGAGAAAGGGAAGCAAGGCAGTCTGAGGTAGCAGGGGTTAAAGAACATGGTAAGCTAGAGATTTCCATTTACTCTTAAGAGTGTTCCAATGAAGTACTCTAGATTTTGGTACATCACTAACCAATTTTATACACTCTAATTGTTGAGAACTTAATAAGGTAAGAACAACACAGACTTTTTTTTATTTGTTAAAGGAAAAGAATACCTTTGACATGCAAACTTCTAATTAGCTGTAAAGAGCTAATTGCAAAGAGTCAGACTGTAACTAAACTTTTGACAAGTAGCATCAGACAGCTTCAGACTCGAACATATATTCTAATAAAGCCTCTCCTTTTATCATCTGTGAGAGCAGTGCATGCTATACATAAATAATAATGGATAAAAGGCCTGTTTTCCTACCAAATTCAATTTATCTGTCCCTGAGTGAGGGTCTGTGCCCTGTGTGTATAGACAGCTGTGTGCCAGCAGCTGGAGCCAGCCAACAGGTCACAGGGCCTGTACGTTTGGGTTTCCAACAACTGGAGAGAGCGAGGGTGTGAGTGTTGGCGTGTTCATGTACGCTGCATATGTGCACCAGTGTGCTTGCAGACTGGGAATACATGCTCAGCCTCATCGCAGGCTGGAATCAAAGGCTACAGCAGTCTTGCCTCCATGGGGATACAGGTTTTGTGCAATCCTCGCACAACCATTTACTTTGAATCATCAGTGTTTGTTTACTCACGTTTATTTGTGAAAAGATTGAAGAGCTGCTCCCGTCTGCGTTCAAAGATTTTCTTCTTTCCCTGCTTCTAACAAAATGTAGCATGCAATTGCTTCTAGCTTTTCAAAAGGCAGATTAAGCCTTCAGTTTCAGGAAGAGTGGTGATTTGATTTTCCTTCTTCCTCCCAACCATTTAATTTGAACAACTTATCTGCCAATCCTTCTGCCAACAGAATGCCTCTTTTTAAAGATCTCTATAGATAAGCGATGCGCTCTGTAAATAAGCTTTCTAGCATCTGAATTGAGAGGGCAGAGTTCTTACTCATTAACATATGTACTTCCTAATTCAGGATTTTAGGTCCCAGAGGGACATCAGGTCCCAGAATCTGGGACCTTTATCAACTTTTATTGTTATGTCCACAACAGTGGTTCTGAAAAAATACTCAGTGAAGACACATGACAGACCATAGCAGGTTCCTGAACAAAATGAAATATCATGATTCTGCAGATTTATTGTAATGTATAGTATTTTTGGCCACATTTAATTATTTTAAATTGTTTTTCCTCTCTGAAAGAACAATTATGAGACAAGGATGTAGCTAATTCACCATTACCTTTTGACCTCTCTAAGAGGATCTAGCTATACACAATAATTAGGTAATGAGGTTTCTGTAACGAGTTTGCAATTTCATATAGCCTCAAAACACTGCTCTAACTAAATCATAAAATTTTTGTAGCAGTAGACTGAATCTCAATACAAAATCAGAACTGACACCTGGCTCAAGAGGGTGTTAGAGGTTCCATGAACAGTTTTACTTTCCTTCTGCTACTTGAGTCTATTGACTAAAATTTTAGTATAAATGGCATATATTTATTAGAAACATATAATTATGACAAGTATTAGATAAAATACCTATTTATGGTAGTAGGCTGAATCTACTACACTCAGTTGCTTATCATAGAATCATAGAATGGTTTGGGTTGGAAGGGACCTCAAAGATCATCTAGTTCCAACCTCCCTGCCACCAACCCCCCTGCCATGGGCAGGGAAACCCTCCATTACACCAGGTTGCCCAAAGCCTCTTCCAACTTGGCCTTGAACACTTCCAGGGATGAGGCATCTACAACTTCTCTGGGCAACCTGTTCCAGTGCCTCACCACCCTCAGAGTGAAGAATTTCTTCCTTTTATGTATTTATTCCAGTTTATAGAATATACGTTATGAATAGATAGAAAAAATACTGACATAGTTTGCAAGCATTATCTCCATTCTAAAGACGGAGAACCAAACACAAAAGGTAGGAGTTGCCTCACTCAACTTCTAGTCTTCCTGTACCATCTAAGCTACACTGTTATAGTCTGTTAAAAAAAAAAAAAAAAATCAATCTAAGTGAGATGAATCACCTTGATAATACCTAAATCTGTCCATTAACCATACAAAAAGATTAGACTAAAGGCTCCAGTTACTATTATCCACACCAAAAAATTAAATCAAACAATCAAATTGCAAGAGAAGTAATTTGCCAACAAATTGACCCCTGTATCTCCTGGCTTATCTGTTCTTAACTGTTTTCATTGGGGCAAAACACACTAAGAGATTGTAGTCGCCCTCAAAGTATACTTTCAAGAAATATTGAAGACAAATTATAAACCATATCTCAGGAAAAAAAAGAAATCAAATAATCAGTGCCTCACCCCTCTGTATTTAAAATACTTGAAATGACAAGTATTCAATAATGACATGAAAAAAGTAATCTTTTTATAATTACCCATATCTGGGATCCAAAGCAATAGCCCTTGGATGTTCCATAGCTCCTGCTATTAACGTTGCTCTCAAAGTGCCATCTAGTTTTGCTACTTCAATTTGGTCCAAATTGCTGTCTATCCAGTATATGTTTCCCGCAATCCAATCTACAGTAAGACCTTCAGGGGTGGCCAGGCCATGTTGTACTACCACCTCAATGGCACTAACACCTTAAAAAAATAGAAGCAGAAAAAAAAAGAAAATAAAAAGAAGGAAGAGAGTCTTAAAGAACTGACATAGTCTGATATAGTCAATATGAACATACAAGTCTATCATAAGCTCTTGGAGTGAATTTTTGGTTAATCTGATGGATAATACTTTGTTCCATGTGATATTTTTCCTTTACAAATGGGATAGACTTCTGTCAATACGTACGCTTTTGGCAGCATATAGATAAAACTCATTCCACAGTAACAGCAACTAAAGCATCAAAGAACTAAAAGTCAGTCAAGCTCTGAAACTCTCAAGAAAGGTCAGAGTAGTTTTTTTGTTTGTTTGTTTAATACAGCACAGAAGTCACTTGGGTTGTGGTATAGCATGATTATAATACAGTGAGATGACAACAGACTACCTGACTGGTTTCATATAAACACCATGACCATTAATGAAAAGTAGCAAGTCTTTGGCTGTCATTACATACTTAGCCGTGTAGGATATTTCTTTCCTGGTCTGGATCTGTGGATATAAAAATATCCACAAATACCATCTACTATGGAGAAGAAGAAAACCCAGAAAACAAAATCCAAATGTGTCAGAGAACATATGCACAAATGCATATGTGAACTTGTACAAAAGCGAGTTAAACAAACGTGGTTATGTCTGTTAACTCATGCAGGAATGAAAGCACTTAAATATATACTTCAACAAAGAACATTTTTTGGAAACACTTTTGCATATATTATGATATTATATTGAGTTATAGACCATATTTATGTAACCGGGGTAAAGAACAAGTCTTTCTGAATGCTTTACAATTATGAACCAAAATCTTTCACCTAGTGAGCGCAGATAGGTTATCATACTTCTGATAAGTTTTTATACCTTTTTTAATGAGGTGAAGGTATATCACAAAAAATAAAAAAGTCAATATTGCACTCATTGAACCACAAAGACATATCAGCCCTTTGCATTTGCCATTGCTTCCCCCTATAGTCTACTGCAAAAGGAAAGACAAAACGTCTTTTTCCAGTTCTACACTGAGTGCAATCTAGATATACACCTTTCTAAAGCCAGAATGCCAACAAAAACTGTGTTTCAGTGAATGGTAGCTCAGTTAGGGTCTAGCAGGTCCAACAGCCTGTAACTGCAGTTCTTACTGTCAAGAAATTAAAGATTAACTTCATACCTCCAGTATCAGAGAGCTTGCCTCTGTAAATTTTGTCCTCTACCACATCTGTCCAGTACAGTAAACTCTGACCAAAATGAAAATCAAGTGCTATCGTATTCCTCAAACCAGGAACTAAGAGGCTGTAGTCACGCTTGTGAAGATCAATTTTTCTGATCTCATGTCGAATAGAAAAAATTATGAAAGCCTCAAACGGATCTAGAAGCAGAAGATTATACATTTCAGAAGAATAATAAAGAAGATATTGTTACATATTGGTATAAACGGCAAGTAGAATAAGAACAACAGCACACGTTATCAGGAGAAAAAGATGATTTAAACAATTCATCTTCTGATAAGGAGCCTTTCAAATACATTTTCAGCACCACAGACTTCTCACTTCTCGCATTACCTTTGATCACAACCAGAGATATTAAACACTAAATTTGGGAATATCAAACTCAACTATCGAACTGTGTTCTGTAGCTCTACCACAAGGAGTCCATATTTAGAGCTTTAAAAAGTCACATTATCAAAACTAAAATCTGTTTTCTCAAAAGTTTCAGAAAAAAGAATCCATTAAATTATACATTCTTTCAAATGACAGTTAGTTGAAACAATTTACTAAAATAATATAAATAAAACAATAGCTATATAATAACATAATTTTATAATTATACCCATTAATATAATATCATTACATATGATAATATAATAAAATAGATAAATACAATGTATCTTTTGAATACATATAACTTACCTTCTGTTTTCAGTTGAAGTGCTTCGAAAAACCCACAACCTCATCCTAAACTACCAAGCAAGGAAATGAACATTGTATATGCTTGTTGATACACCTCATCACAAATCCAACTCCCAAGTTCTCCTTCCTTTGTTATTGAATGCTCTCTGCCTAGGTCAACTATACTATAAAAGTGATATTTTAATTATAATTCTTTCGTATTTTAGATTAGAAAGCTTTTCAAACAAGTAGCTGTGTTAGCAAAACAAACAAGGAAGACAAAAATTAGATTCTGTAGACAACTCGGTAGATCCACTTTAATAATTAAAGTTTTTCCCACATAAAAGGACTAGTGTGAAAGTAGTTTGCCTCCCCCCACCCCGCCCCCCAGTTTTCTCTCTTGGAGTGAAACACAAATGATACTGAGGTTTTTGTTTTACATACAATTAAACCTCCATTTTATATAAAAGATGGACTATTGGCAGTTTATAGCAATAGGCTATATTGCATTGTTCTTCTAAAATATTCAAAAAAATAGTTTTGCAAATGATCACCAAATAGAAAAACACTTACATATCTGTTTTTGAAAAGATTAGTTTCATGTTCTTCTCTTGACAAGCATTGCACATACAGATCAAATTATCTATGATGTTTTAAGTTAATCAGGTACCTCAGTAGAGCTATGTTTCTGCTCTTGCAGTACTTGTTCATAATTTGGTCTGGACTTTCCAAATGACCTTCTTCTTTGTTAAAGCAATGAGTGACCTTCTGCAAAGCTAATTTTTCAAGTCTCTGCAGTAATTCAATAATTTAATGAAGAACAGGATCACTAACATTAGTAGCTATTTCACAAGTACCAGTTATCTGAACCTGGGAAATGTTTTAATAGCACTTCCCAATTTCTGATAAATCGGCAGCTATTACACAGGACACTACAGACTGCTGACATACTGGTTTTTAGGCAAGTCCAATGCATAAAAACACAGATGATGGACATCATCAGTAGCTTCTTTTATGTTTCTCGGTAACTAACATTACAAAGGAAATAAGAAACCTAACAAATCTGTGCTATGTTGGATGGGTTTTTCCATTCAAAGTAGAGAAAGTCTAGCTTAAGATACACAACCTAGGGTGCAAATTATCAAGTACACCAGTACGGATTAGAGTTCAATGGGATCTTGACAAATTTAATGTACAATACTTAAGAATGTAAATCAACAATGAGAAACGGGTAAGAAAATATGTGTAGGCAAAGTAACATGTTATTCCATAGTAAATCATTATCCCATAAATGGTATTCCAAAGTACAATGTTATCCCATAAAAATACAAAGATGTAAATTCAAATCTTTGGTTATTGTGGCTGATGCACAGTCAAGTTACAGATGCAATGCTACATAAAACAAAGGAATGACTGCTATTATGACACACAAGACATTGCATCACAGTGCAAAATTTCTCTAGAAAGAATTCAGAAAGCAGATAGAAATCAGTTTTATATAGATTCCTCTATGATAAGGCTATTTGAATATAGCCAAATGCATAGCAGTGACTATTGCCTGCCTGGTGAGTTGTGAGCCAGAGTCCAGCCACTGCTCTGCTTTACATAATGCAGCAATCAAATCACCACAGCCTGGATGACTGTAGTCTAGGATTTTATTTAGTACTGCCTGACCCTCTCTATTATTGTATGTGTAGTAAGTACCACGTTTCAAGGATAAGCAGCTGCATAAAATTGAATATATAACTGATAGGACACCAGATCTGTAGAAAAGAATCTAGAAAATTAAATCACCAATGGCATGGCACTGTAAATAAGGTTAACTCAAGGTTTGCACTTAAAATAAATGTGACATAACTCTTCCACTCTCTCTCTCTAAGCTTTGGTGAAGACAGTCTACAATGCTGTACCCTGTTCTGAGCATGGCTCAAAGAAGAATGTGAATGGACTACAGGAACGCAAGAGGAAATCAGCAAGTGGTGCAAGAGGTCTAGAAAGCATGGTCTGCAAGGAAAGAATGAACAATCTAGAATTGCTTAGTCTGAAAAACAATGGAATAAGATGATAAGTGAAAGCACATAGAATTCTCCAAAGACATGAAAGGCTGATGAACTGAAAACGGGGGAAAAAAATAAATCTTATTTTCCAAAGAAAATAAAATTCCCGCCCCCCGTCTTCCAATACCTGAAGGGAACAGGAAGGCTGGGGAGGGACTTTTTACAAGAGTGTCCAGTGATAGGACAAGGGAAATGGGTTTAAGTTGAAGGAGAACAGATTTAGATTAGATCTTAGAAAGAAATACTGCAGTACGAGGGTGGTAAGACTTTGGAATAAATTTCCCAGAGAGGTTGTGGATGCCCCCTCCCTGGAGGTGTTCAAGGCCAGGTTTGACAGAGCCTTGAGTAGCTTGTTCTAGTTGAGAGGCATCCCTGCCCATGACAGCGAGGTTGGATTAGATGATCTCTAAGGTCCCTTCCAGTCTATGCCATTCTATGATTCTATGATATAAATAACAAGTAGGCCAAGGATTAAAGGCTTAAACTGGAGTAGGAAGACTCCGAAAGACTAGAGTGGAAAAAAAAAAAATCTTAAGGAGTGTGAGGCACTGAAACATCTCACTCCTGGGAAACCTGGAGGTCACCTCTGAAGGTGCCTTGAAGGTCTTTGAGAACAGATGAACAACAGCAGTACTAGATAGCCTTTGATCTTCCTTCACACGTTATTCAATGACTCCATAAAATGAGCTATATTACAGTGACTTAGAATTTTCAGAATGGGATCAATTTATTTCATTTAAGGTTATGTTTCCATCACCCTATAAAACAAACAAAAAATTATTATTTTCCCACTTGACTCCTCTTCTGGAAATTGAGAGCAAATACTCCTTATTTTACCAATTAATTAAGAGTATTTTCATAAAATCTCATCTTAACTCATTTCAATGTAATGGTTACTGATTCCATTTCTTTAAAAAAAGCTTTAAAGAAAGTAATTGATAACAATCTATTAGAGAAAAGTCATACATTTCTGTACCTTCTGATTTCATGACTGCACCAAGCTTTTTTACCATACAGGTAAGTGTATTAAATTTATGCTACAAATATAAACCATGAACTACATCAATAGTTGTGAGAAAAAGCTCTGATAGAAAATACTGTCTAAAAAACACACTAAAAAAAGACTGTATAAAAAGAATAATGCTTCACCTTTTCCAGTGGTTTAATTCAAAATTCTTTCTTGGGAAAAATGCTAACTGAAGCTTATTGTTTCATCAAAGCTTACTGTAACAGCAGCAGCACAGCAAGTAACCTACACTGTGCTTTTATGAAATTTACCTCAAAGGAAAATGATAACTTCATAAAGAGTCTGAAAAAAACATGAAAAAGTTAGACCTTGCTCAGAGAGGACTGGACTGTCCTTTTGTTGTTTGTCTGTTTTTTTTTGTTGTTGTTGTTGTGGTGGTTTTTTTTTTTCCCCTCCATTTTAGCATTGAAAGCTATCTAGAAAACATAATCATTTAATTTAAAAGCAAGTTAAAACAGATCGAACACACAGATACATATATTTGGAAAAGAAGATGATGTATCTAGTGATGCAACAGAGTTCCCACAGCTTAGAAAAGGTTGGCAGTCATTTTTTTTAATTAAATCTATATTACACAAAGTGTTTCTTCATGCATCTAACTTTTATTACATCAGATTCTGAAGGCTGAATGTAAATATGACATTTACATATTTCAAGAACATTTTTGTTTCTATATGCTTATCATCATCTAAAAGTTCAAGTGCAATGTATCAGTACAACTTATTCTGAAAAGTGTTCCAAGAGAAACTAGGAAGAAAAGCATGAAAAATATAATTTATATTGAGTTTCTAACTGAATAATGGAGGTCTGTAGCATACTTTTAGTTCAACCAATACAAATATAAACGTGAATAAGACATTTAGTCTTCGGGGAGGCATAATGTAACAATACACATGTCAGAACAGCAAAAAGCAATCTAGATGAAAACAAGAGATATGGAAAGTGAAGAAACTCAGAAGGAGAAAAACACATCACCACTTAAAACCCTCAAGAAACAAAGAGAACATAAGCAGAAATAAGTGCCAACAGGGGAAACCAAAAGAAAGACACTGAAAGAGAAACTAAAAAGAAAAGAACTCAATTAAGACAATTTCTATATACTTATTATTCCATAACTCATTATATTTCTCTGGCAATTCATTAGATTCCTCTGACAAACAGATTATTTGGTTTTGACAAGGCTTTAAAAAAAACCCCCACGCATACATTACTGCATTTTCAGCATCCATGTTACCATTAGATTTCTGATGGACACCCAAGTAAATGCTTTTACAATATTTTGAAAGAGTGAAGTGCTGCATACTAACTTTACACATTATTGCTGTGTACCAGTGAGACGTTTGACTGTATAAACTGTATATAGGAAAGTGCTCTTTCAGATAGCAGAAAAACGTAGCTAAGGGCAAGGTAGTAAGTTTCCTCTATTTTTTTGTTCTCCTGGAAACAGGATTATTAGTTACTGCTCTAATACAACACACACCTACTCCCAGTTCAAGGAGTTTTAAATCACTATGGCTATTCCAAGAATTACTTCATACCAACCGGTATTACTGAAGAAGCAGTTGGGCATTTGGGGGACTATTTATCTTTGCAAGATCACTTTGAACTCTACTTCTAACAGTATTATATGAAAGCTTTTTTCTTTATATTCATTTAAGATCTCACGCACGGAGACGTAAATGGTATGGACAATTTGAAGCTAACAAAACTGTTCTCACTTTACTTACATGTTGTTCGCACAGTCAACAACTAAAGTATCTGAGAACTTGCTGTACTTCAGAGCACTGAAGTACTGAGCTGTACTTCATTTGTGTCTTTCAAATGAAATAAACTGAAAAGGGTCAAGATTATTAGTAACTATAAAAACATACACCATACTTACTATGGAATAATTTTGTTTCAGCTTTGATGGAACTAGGATAGTATCTTTATGGTTTCTAAAGAAAGGTATCATTTTTCTTTATACCAGCTGACAACACTGGTCTCAGGTCATACATTTAATATTACATTCCTTGAGAAAAATCTGTAAAAATCAATTTGTAACTTCAGATTCTCAACGAGACCAGTAAACATTAAGCAGAAATAGCTCATGGGCTTCAGAAAAAAAATGAGAAACTCTAGTCTCACTTTTCTTACTTTTCAGCACAAGTGAGCGTATTTCACTTTGGGTTTTTCTTCCCCTTAGTTTCCAAATACTGGTCATTTGTATTTGCTCCAATTTGCAGTTTGTTTCAAGCTCTTCTCCACCAAGTTACTAACACTGTCTTAAATGCTTTTAATCCTTTTATTTCTGCAACGCAGTAAGAATGATAAGTTACTGGAAACGTCCATTATAAAGCAAATCAGATCAATCAAAAGCCAATGAGAGTAACATTAAAGCAGTGCCATAAAATAAGAACTTTAACAGCAATAAAATAAAGTTCAGATATATAGAACCACAGTAACATGCCTGTGAAGCATGATTTGAGAATCTATCAACATAGCTTAGTAATATCTGAACTGATATACGTTCCTGATCTCAGACTGTAGGCTATTTACATACGATAGTGACAGAGACAAAGACTCAATTTGGAGATCATTCTGGAAATTACAACGGTTATTTCAGCTTGATGAATGTAAACCACATTCTTAATGAACCAAAAAACATTTCAAAGGCAAGACGTAACTCATGAGCATTTGCTAAAAGGTCTTCAAGACAACATCCACGATATAAACCTGAATTTTAATTATTCATTGCTTTGCAAAGAGAAATACCATTTTTATTACATGCAATAGATATTTTGGCCATAAGTAAATTATGGGCTTCATTACTACTGTAACAAAGTTCTAAAATGCTCTTTATATTAGCTCAAACATTGTCAAAGCAGAAAGATTAGAATTTGCCTCTTCTGAAATATGGACCATTAAGTTGGCTTCTAACTACTAAATTATTTCAGGTGACTAGCAGTAGGAAACTTGGGCTTTTATTTCTAGCTTATTGATTCAGAATTTTGTCATGTGACTCATCTGAGGAAATGCTGAGCATCTGGAAGAAATCAAGAGTATCTTAATGATATTATCTATTGAATTATGAAATATTCAAATATCTCTAAGTTTGGGAGATATTTCTACTAAGCACTGATAAGATACTATCAAAGAATAAAGATAATAAAGAATAAAAATATCACATAATCTTAAACTGGAATGTTGAAAATCCGGACAGCAAAATCAACGCTATTTTTAACTACCTGCAGAAGAGTTTAAGATCATAGAATGGTTTGGGTTGGAAGGTACCTCAAGGGTCTTCTAGTTCCAACCCCCCTGCCATGGGCACGGACACCTTGCACTAGATCAGCTTACTCAAAGCTTCCTCCAACCTGGCCTTGAACACTTCCAGGGATGGGGCATCCACAAATTCCCTGGGCAACCTGTTCCAGTGCCTCACCACCCTCAGAGTGAAGAATTTCTTCCTTATATATAGATGTGATGACAGTTTATATTGCACATGTGTTTGTATTTCACACATGGATTCACACTGCACTTGAAAAAGATGCTCCTAACATAGCTTCTAAATCGTGCTTCAGTACATATCAATAGTGAGCAATGAGAGGAATTCATTCCCTTCTCCTGTTTCGCTTTATGTTGGTTTTCTTATTGATTAGTGAGCTGAATGGGCTTAGTGATGTCAAAAAACAGGTACTAGAATGTCATAGGTAAAAAAAATAGTTCAAATTGTGAATGCTAACAGGCAGCAGATAATTGACTATGTGTGCATGCACATTCAAAATTAAACTTCTGAACCCTCGAGTAATGTTGATTAATATCACTGTCACAGATTGATCCATTTCTTCAAAATACATAGTAAATCCCCCATATTCCACATGCATTCACACGCATCTACATATATACACACACACACCCCTCTTGCATATTAAATATACATTAAAAACTGTATAAAACTTCAAACAACTTAGAAATTATTTGGTATTAATAGTATTAGAAAGTCTTATAAGCAATGAACTAATATTGCAATACCCCTTCATCTTGCATCAAGAATAGAGACAGCTTTAAGGAGTTCTTCAGATTGTACATTTGGATAATCCAAGTCTACTTCTTATTAAAAAAAGGAAATAATGTCTCACTAAACATACAAAATGGCTATCAACATCTGGAATATTGAAAATCCATTGAATTTCAACTTACCAGTACTAACACAATTTTCTCCATCCTTACTGAGCCTCCAGCCTTCGTAACATGAGCACTTGACAGTATTTTTATGCTGTTCACACACTTGACTACACTTAAGGTGCTTGGTACAGTAATCCATAACCTCACAAGTTTTGTTGTCTATGCTAAGACTGAATCCTGCAGGGCAGGAGCATACAATTCTTCCTCCAGGAACCACAGAACATTGATGACTACATCCACCATTGTTAAGTGAACATTCATCTGAAATAACACGGGGAAAAAAACCATTAAGGGTCGCAAGGGCTCTCGATTATATTGCATATTCTTAAAGTCACCAGGTCAACTAGCACACATAAGAAGCCCCTAAGAAGCACAAAATGAATCTTACATTTGCTAAACAACTTTCTGTATTTATTTTAAAAATTATCTAATTTGTAAGCATTCAGCATGGCAATTTTAAGGCAACCTTTCAGGATTTTAGAATGGCAGATGTACCATGTATATACATTTTTAGACTTTTCATGCGTATTATTTCATTCACTTATGAATTAAAGAGTGTGCATACAGAGTCAGTCCAAAGACCATTATAGTCAACACCTTCAATGTTGACCAAAAGCTGATGCACAGAGAAACAAGCATAATTCCCCAAATATTTCCTTTGCCTCCAGCCACTTGAACTCGCAGGGAGAAGGCTCCAACTCTCAGTCATATGTATCTATATCCCAAGTAACTTGTCAAAGAAACATGTACAAATTACATTTAAAAATAAGGATTTCTTTTTCCTCCTTTTCCAATAACAGCTACTACAGAATGCTACTTCTGTGTCAGTGCCTTCAGATTATATTCTGCAAGTAACTGACGATTTGCAAAGCTCTGCTAAATGAATTCAAGGTGATCTGTGAAACAAATGTTTTACTCATCTCAATTAAAAGCATGATAATCGTGTCTATTGAGAAATTCTGTGACCTCTGGAGTCAAAAAGCATAGAATTACTTCTTACCTCACAATACTGCTGCTATCCACGTAACAAATGGGAAGGCCAAACTGGTCTATTGTTACAGTGGAAATGAGACTTTACTTTTTTAAAAAAATCTATTTGTGTCCTGTAGTTATTTTGTTTGATTCAAACAAGTCTCTGAAACCCTTGCACATTTGTGATTAAGATGTATAAGACACGCCAGTTTTCTACAGAAGAATTAATTCCTTCCCACTAAAAGAATCCCACAAAAATCCAGTAACAAAACAAACAAAACCTCAACACCCTTCTTCTAACCGTCCTTTGTTCATCTTTCAAGTTTGTTTTTTTAAATTTTTTTTTCTTTTTATCATGACATTAAAGGATCAAGCTCCTTAATGTGTCTAATATTCAAATGTGTTGCCCAGCATCCCATATTTGCCCTTCAGTTTATGCTTAGGTATCTTTTAAAACTAAATATCTAACAACTGCTAACATATATGTTGACTAAACACCCCATCTGAAAGGTGTCAAAACTGTTAAAAACCAAGCTGGGCCCTATACAATATCCAATCACATATAGGTGTCATAATGGGCTATTACTAGCAGGAAGATAATTGTCCCTACACAGAAACAGCATAGAAATAAAATAAATGACCTTATACCATAATTTCTTTCACCTGAGGTCTAGACAGCACAGTATTCACATGCAGCTTTCAAGGCTACAACATGAACATATTCCAGAGGAACACTGAGTTTAGGACCCCCTTTTACAGTCTAGTCTGCAGACCACCAGAGCAGGACAGTGTGAAGATCACTTTGCCATGTCCTGCAACTGAGCGGTTTAGATGACTCAGCACAGCCCAGAGCAGGGTCTCCCAAAGAGTGAGAACGCTTGTAAACATCTCCAAATGCTTTTTAAGAGAATGCTGGATATTGGAAAACATTTTATGCAAGGCCAGGTCAGTGGGGAGAGGCAAATTGTTGCTATAATGAAAAAGAATTATAAAATTATCCATATTTTTCCTACAAACCATGTTTCATTTCTTGTCTCTAAACCATCACTATAGTACAATACTACTGCCATAGATTCTTGTCAGATGTATTCATTTGATCTTTGCATATATTTTATAATAATTCAGTTAGGTTACGTGTTATATTTTTCAGATTTATAAAATTATTTTTTGTACATTTGTTACTAAACACTGAATAAAATTTTGCTCAGATAACCTACATTGTCTGACCGGACATTAAATCCTTTCATCGCCCCATGAGGGAGACACGTTAACTCCTCCTAGTCATCTCCAAGCATTTCTTCACGAACTCCTACACAGCTACTGACAGGATTCTATCAAATCAAACTTCTACAGTTTCAGAGAACTGCAAATTAGCTTAAATCCTTACATATATACCAGAGCCTCTTAAATTATTTACCTTCAGAAGTATGTTAAAGGGTTAGGAAATGAAAGACTTACCTAAGGGACTATGTTTTCCCTTACTTGAAGAAAACTAATACTTCAAGCGCAAAACCAGTATGATTTTAATTAAATAGAAATCCTCACATAGACTACAGTGATAAAATTTCAGTAAGACTAACATGAGAATTGCTTTTCCAACTAAGTATTGTGACAGACGACATCAAGAATAATCAAGAAAAATGTGTCTAAAGAGTACCACAAAGATCGCCTTCATCAGATCCATCAGGACAATCTCTTCTCCCATTGCAGAGCTTCTCAGGCTGTAGGCAGATGGAGGTATCATTAGCACAAGGGTATTTTGGTGGTCCACACATATAGCCCTCGCAATTATCCTCATCAGACTGATCCTCACAATCAATATCGCCATCACATAGCCACGCTTTGCTAATGCATCTCCCTTTGAGAAAAGAGACAATAAATACAGGAAATCAGACTGGAAGCAAACTTTAAAAAAAAGCCTTCAGTAACATTACACATTTTTTTTTAATTATGCTTTTCTATTAATAGTACTTTCCACTTAGATGAACAGAAAGAAACCAGCTTGTACTTGTATTCTGAAGCATCATCCACATTAGTGTTGACAGTCTAATTTTCCAAGCAACATTAATCCTAATTATTTCTATGCTGAACAGAACTGTATATAGGCAGACACAATCTCATAATCTGTTAAATATACCAAATTATACTAAAACGGTAGGTATTTTGGGGTGTTTGTTTGTGTTTTTTTTTTTTAATGCTTTTCTTCACCTCTCATCTTCTACTTCAACAATGTTCCATAGGAGCAATGTTTTGACATATGTCTGTCTATTAGCACAGATTTGAGAAACAGAAATCTTTCTAGGAAGCATACGCAACACATTCCCAGACTATGTCAGATAAACGACCAGCTTTTAGACAAAAAAACTACTGCACATGAAATTTCTTACATGATTTCAGTTTTATCAAACCAGGCTTCAGATAATTTCTTTAACTCCTTGAAGGGAGGGTGGAAATCCACTTTTGTGCGGACCATCAATGTTTAGAGATGGAAGACGATCTCGTGATTAAGAAAGAGGTTATGATTTCGTTTTTAAAAAAATACAGGTTCAAACTAGAATCACCCAAGCCAGGGATTTTAATAGGTGAATATAACTGAGATCGTGAATGTTTCCATTTACAGGTGTGTGTGCTCCTGTCCCAAACTATTTCTCAACTTTCAAGCATAAACTTGTGACTTGCTAGCTACAGCCAGTATGGGCTAGTAGTTGTAAGTTTTGATAACACCTGGACTGAACAGAAGTGGCACATAATTTATTCTGCAATTAATAAAGAGACAACAGGTAGAACCATGGGTTAGGAAGACGATCTTACACTGTGTTTCTTCCTATAAACTATTTAGAGAAAATCAGGCTGGAATGAGAAGGAAGACCCTGGAAATGTGTGGATTCATTGACAACAATGCTAGTGGATGCTCAGGGACTGGCTGGTTATGCCTGAGACTGGTAACTACAAACTGTTGCACAACATGAACTGACACAACTCTCTGCCCAACCTTCCCAGTTTAGTAGCAATCTTTCCAACAGGAAATTGAGACGGATTATGACTTTGTGGAAGAAGCAAGTGAGTGAGCATGGGAAATAATCAACTAGGGTAAAATACTAATCTCCTTGGTCACATCAGTTGCAAATTCACTACAGGCTGTCTTTTACTCTGTATCACCCATGAAATGGTTCAATACAAAACCACTTCAAAACAGATTCTGTACAGCTGTCCACACGATATAGCAATTGTTCCTAACTGTAACTCTACTGTCTGCCGTAATTCAGTAGCAGATTTCAATTTCCTTTAAAGAAAATAGTTGCTTAAAATTAGGATAATGATTTTAGTTTGATATTTTAGTCTTCTTTTAACAGGAAGGATGTCGTCATCCTCACAGAATGACAACAGGATAAAAAGACAGTGAAACAAGAGCAATGAAAAAGGTATGTTTCTGTAGCGTCCCACAAGCAAATGTGAGACTGCTTTCACTTTTGATGAAGAACAGCAAGAAGTGAATCTTCAGGATCATACTACAGCGACTGTGGTTTCAAACAACAGAACATTATTTTACCAGTACAAAATCACCTGAAAAACTTAAACAGGGAGTGGTGTCAATTACCATAAAAAGCTTTCACCGTTTTCTATAATGGTCAAAGTCCCAAACATCCTACACTGAAAAGACAGAATTGCACAGACACATGAAAATAAAGTTGTATGCATGACATGTATGCAGTTTATCCTTACATGCAGTCACAAGTGCTTCAAAAAAGTGTCCATATTCATTATCATCTTGAAATGATCATTTATTTTGCATATTATTATAACACAGCAGTAGAAGAAAAGCTAATGAAAAACACCAACGTCAAGCAAACTAACCAGATCGCAGAGTAAATTGATATTGCTTCCAGTAAAGCTCCTAATCTGTTTTTTAATCTTTTATACATACAAATGTTTACAGAGGAAATCAGTTTTCCTGCCTTTCTCTTACCTTAATGAAGATATATTTTATAATAAAAGATTCATCTTCCACTATGAAAGCTATGACATGTTCTTAACTACAATATACTTACAAGGAATTAATCTTTGCCAAAATTCTAGAGAGATAGGCTTAATGAGGTATTATGACTGTCTTGAAATCATTATATAAAATTCACTGAAGTATTTTTGCTTTATTGCCCCTTATTGAAACTCAGGTTTGATTTCCAGGAACCTTTTTAGTAAAACTCCATCATAACGTAATTGCTTCAATGAATATATCTGTTATTTTTCCATAGCTCTTTTGTGTAACACAGAAGAAATATGCGTAAAGTAGTCAAATCAGAAGTTCTGAGGCAACGAGTGTGTGGGAGAGCCTGATCCAAATGCTTCTGCAACATTTTTTATTTCCTACAAATATTAGCAAGTACAACAGAATGAGCTTTTTCTATATTGTTCAGTCTTTGTTGAGATACTGAGCCCAGAAAGTTTTTTGACTGATTATATATTCAACTGTAGGAAAACTACTTTGGTGGAGTGCTAATTGCATTCAGTTTTCTCATACTGTTACTTCTTACTGCCTAAAGCTGTAACACCATCCTAACCTACAGAATAGACTCAATCTCACTCCCACCAAAGTGAAAGAATGTTCTCATCCAACATACTTAAAATGTTGTGATGGTCAATGATCTTGCTTGTCCTGGAGAACACATCTGAGACTTAGAACTATATTGTTTCAAGAACACGGTAATTTCTGGTATTTAAAAGCTTTTAGTAGAAAGCAGATATTTATAAACATCTCCTGGATGAGACAGAAGAAAAAAATTCAGGACCTAAAGACGACAGTTGTTACTGCAGAAAACAATAACACGAACCAAGGATAAAAAACAGAATTGGAACAACATATATCATTTTCTAGTCTATTTGCTGTGGTGGTTTCTTTTTAAGTTTTTTTACGTGAACTGAATCCACCTTTTCAGTCAGAAATGTCATCATTCTGAACCATTGTTACGTTCAAAAAGGTTAATAGAGCAGTTGTACAAGATGTGCAGCTCAATATCGACAAGTGAGAGAGGAAATAAAGCAGGCAGGGAATAAGTGGAAGCAATGCTGGTAAACCCACCTTATGACTGATATTCTTTCCATCCACCCTTTGTACTCCTTCATGCATCCCAGTCTTAAGTTCTTACCAAATCTTATCCTCTGCTCATGCCATATCTCTTCACAGCAACCCTTTTCTCCTCTTCATCTCTCACAGAATATGCGGGGGAGCCCTGCCAATTCCCTCATCAACATCTTTCTCAAAAACCCTTCCTTCCCAGCCTTCCTCAATATTAAATTCTCTCCATTCTTCTCTGTCACACCTCACACAATCACATCTTGTCTCACGCTCCCCATTCAAACAGTACTATTCCTGTTGCCCTTCTCTTCCAGAATCACTGTGATGATCACCCCTTATTTCCTCTCTATGTACGTTCCTTATTTTCCATTCCAAAGAAATCCTACTTCTTCCCTCATCTTTTTTTTCTCTCTAGTATACTATTAACATATATTAAAAAAGAAGTGCAAAATAACAGCCCACAGAGTAGCATTAGAAGTAGTAAGACACAAAATTAACTGCTTCTTGAAAGAAATATAAAAAGCAGTAAGTATGACAAATATACAACGCAGTTCAGATCTACCGCTTACTAAACTGAAGTATTCATGGCTCTCTGGCATTTTTCTTCACAGAAGTACTTGATTATGATCATTAGAGTAATTATATGACTTTTCAAGTGAGATTGCACAGATTCTGCTCTTGGTCCAGTACTACTAAGAGCAAAGTAGGAAAATAGAATAAAAGGACAGATTTATGTAGTACATAAAACTGAAATGAAGTACATGCCTGCAATAATTTTTGGAGGACAGAATGAGAATTTAAAATAGGAAGTTGGATCTTGGACTAATTTAATTTAGTCTAGTCTAATTTAAAAGAAGTCTAATCTAATTTAAAAGCAGAAAACAACTGGCTAGAAGCAGCCAACAGTAGTCAATCTCAATCACGTAGTTATTGCATCTCATATCCAACTCCGGTATATTTTTCATCACACATCACTACAAACAACTGTGTGATGTTCCTGACAAAATTAGAAACATCATCCTGAAATCTGTTAATGTAAGTGCCCTGCAGCATTTTGGCTGACTTTGGATACCACATCTCAAGACCTGGACGGTGGGACAGTTCAAGTGAGACCAACAGAAATACTAAAGGTTTAAAAATATTAAATAAAAATAGAGGACATTCAAGGCCAAAACCCAAATATTTGTTTATTTAACAAAAAAATATGGTTAAGGGGACATATGACAAAAGTCTTTCAATATTCAAAAGATTTTTACACCGGTGGAAAGATGAAGACAATCAGCTAAGCTTGCAACAGATTCATATGACGCATTAGGAAAAAGTGTTCAACTGTTAGAGGCAAATTACTAAAAGGCTAGCTGTAGAAGTTGTAGAATACCCTCTACTGGATATTAAGTGCGTATCAGAAAGGGGGCTGGATATGATGGGTTCTTGAGACCACCATTAGCCTAAGAAGAAAAATCCATTTGGCTGAAGGCCGACAAACGCTGTAATTGTAACATGACACTCAAACCTCTGGCATTGTGATAGATTAAGCAGAGCCAACAAAATCTAAAGTAAGGAAAGACCCTGCAGCTACTATTTACAGCCATAAACCAAAAAAGAAGTAAGCAAAAAAGTGGGCAGTAACATTTCACTATTACTGTTCTCACCAACTGTAATTTCCTTCAAAACATATTGGCTGTTTCACCTTTCCCCATACACACGTTCCTACCTAAATCTGTCATATTGTGTATTAGGAAATCAGATGCCACCACCTGGCAATCTGTAAGAGAAGAATTAAC